CTGCCCTTGGTGAAGCCATGTTGGGAAGTTAAATGAAAGTTCATTCCCGTTTCAAAGAGTTTTTCTGCTGCAAAGTAGGGGTAGTTTTGTACACCTTAAAGTAGCAATTTCTCTATGAGTTCTCAAAATATTTCAAAATGTGTATCAGTTTTAGGTGAAAAGATATTTTTGGCTTGTGTGCATACTGCTGTTACTGTGCGGTAAGAAAAGCAAATCAGTGAATAAAGCAAACTAGTTCCTTCTATACAGAATGCACCTTCAGGAAGATACTGGAATTATTTTTAAGGCTAATTGCAACATAATATAGCCAGTATGACTGAGGAGAGAGATTCTTTGTGTTTCGGGACTTGCTTCTTTTCCTTTTGCAGTGTCTTCCAGAGCCCATAAATTCTGCTTGATGTGTGCCACTTGTCAGTCAAAGCTGCATAAAAATAATGAAAATGTGACTTACTGCATTTATATTTTATGGTGGTTTTCCTCTCAAATTAAACTTCCAGTAAAATTCTGGCAATGTGTTTTAATCTCTATTATCAAAGTGTAAAGAGAGTAAAGCAAAATTCTGCTTTATTTTCCAGTGGCTTTGAAACGTATGCTGAACTTCAATGTTCCCCCTGTTAAAAACAGCACAGGAGAACCAGTCTGGAAGGTAAGAACTATTTGAACAGGAATAGGAGAATTTTATAGTGTTCAAAAAAGTTCAGATTTTCAAATTTTAACTAACTTGAGTATCTTCTCTATGTTCTTAACTTGCACAAAATATTTTTCCTGTGTGTTATGAATGTACAGAATTTAATATCAGAATTGCTGAGAAAAATACATATTTGGGATAGTGGCTGTTTGAAGACACAGTGACTGATTCTTCAGGCAATATTTTAAACAGCAACTGAGGAGGACATTTTTGAAATGTGCTTAGGTCTCATTGATACCTGTTGGCAGAAACTTACATGATGCCTTAGAGGTGAACTCACAGAGTCAAAAAAGATTCCCACAGAAAGGGAAGAACTATTGATAGCCTTAAGTTTAGGACAAGCTGAGCTCAAGCTACCTTAATTAGGTTTAAAAAGTAAGTAATCTGTGAGAAGATTTTGCTACTACAAAGCATAAATTCTGTCATCCATTCTATTGTCTGTTTTGTTTTGCTAGTTCCCTTTTTTCTGCTTGGCTTGTTTCCTCCAAAATGCAGTCAGAGAAATTCTGCACTTAAAATTGCAAATTTCTCACAGCAGATTCCTGTTTGACTGACACTTTTCAGGAGATGAAATTGATGAATTTATTTCCCTTTTTCATTGAGTTTATTTTCTTTTCTTTTTGTTGTGGGTTTTGTTTGTTTGTTTGTTTGGGTTTTTTTGTTTGATTGAGTTTTGTTTTGGTTTGGGGTTGGGTTTTTTTGTATTAGTAAGCACAGATGGAATTCCATGACAAATTAATGATGTATTATAAATTGATAAATGTTTAGCACTTTTCAGGTTAGGATGGTAGTTCCTTAAACCTGAATTCCTTTATCCTGTATTCTACTGCATCCACTTGTTACACCACTTTGTAAAAAGATACCTGTCTATTTCAGGTTCTCATTTATGACAGATTTGGCCAAGATATAATCTCACCTTTGTTGTCAGTGAAAGAGCTGAGAGATATGGGGATCACTTTGCACCTGTAAGTAAAAGAGTCAGCTTTTTTTTTCTTTTTGCTAAAAAGAACTTTATTTATTTTTCTCCCAAAATCACAAACAAAATGTTGAAAATCGTTTGGTGAGTGACTACTAAAATGAAGATTATACCCTGACATATTTCTAAAATCAGCTGGTATTAATCATAATCAGGGAGTGCAATGGTCATTTCAAACATTGTTCAGTAAGATTTCTTACGAAATAGAGGAGGCCCCTGCTCAAAAATAAGAAATATCCAATAGGTGTTTTGGGGAATCTGTCTGTACAATTCTCTCTGTATTCATATATCTTAAAATTATTTTGGTTCAAACTGTTTCATGGGACTATGCATATTCTTTGCTTGTCTTTTGCACATGTATTTTTATTGTCTCTTGTCAAAGATATTCAGTCTTTAAGTATTATTTTAAGAGTTTTCCCATTTCTCTGGATTACATTTATTTAGTTTACTGTCATTCCTTAGCTGTGGTAATACTCATGGAGGAACTTGGAAGATTTTTTTTTTTTCCCCAAAAAAAGTTTATTAACTTTTGCTAAGTGAAGGCTAGAAATGGAAACACAGTTCCATATGTTGTCATATTAGTAGAAATGTGAGAGAAATGTGTAAAACCTTGCCTGTCATTGTTTTAATGATCAGGGAAGGCAAGTTTCATAGTGTGAGTTAGGCAGGGTTTTTGTTACCATGTCAACAATTAATAATTGGTATATGAACTTGGTGGATGCAGTATTTTACCTTCCTCTGAATGGATAATCTGGCTTTGGAGATTTGTGAAGCCTTTTCTCAAGCTTCGAATAAACTCTGGATACCTCTGTTAATGTATTCAGCCAAAAATTATACAAATCAGATTTTGCTGTTTTTTGATGTGTTGTTCTTGCTAAAATCTAGCTAAATACAGGGAGAAATTGAATGTGTCTGTATAAATACATAATTTCTTTAACTTTCATAATTTTACACAAATCAGAGGAGGAACACGTTACACATCTGTTTTTTCTTCTTTTCAGGCTTTTGCATTCAGATCGGGATGCTATTCCAGATGTTCCAGCTGTTTACTTTGTAATGCCAACAGAAGAAAATATTGACAGAATGTGCCAGGTAACTGGCATTCTCAGTGTTTCAAATGAGTGGACACAACAAAGTATGGAAGTAATCCCACACTCACTGGAGTGTGACCATTCTGTATCTAGTCCTTGTGCAAGTCTGAACACTTTGGCTTGGATTTTTTATATATTAGCACATACTTGTCACAAAAAAGTTACCCAGAATTTTTACATGCAGAACTTCAATTTCCCAGAAGGTAGAAGGGTAAATGTCTTCTGTGTTTTGGAAAGAGAGTTTTGGGAGTTAAAAGACATGAAGCAGTGGGCGCAAACCGAAATATAGGCAATTCCATTTAAATGGAAGAAAAAACTATTTTAATGGGGTGGCTGAACACTGGAACAGATTGCCTGGAGAGTGTGTGGAGTCTCCATCCTTGGAGATGTTCAAAACTCAGCTGCACACAATCCTGAGCCACGTGCTCTATTTGACTTTGCTTTGAGCGGAGATAGTTGGACTAGGCTAGCCTCTGTTTTTCACATTCTCTGGGAGGAATTGATGAACATCAAAAAAAAAGGAAGACAAAGGGTATTTTGGTCAGTGGTAAGGTGTGGAGTAGCAGTTGCTATCTGGTAGCTTAAATTTTATTTCATTGTTTTTGCAATTCCGTGTGAAGTAAGTTTTATCTACTTATGTAGCTAAAACACTGCATACAGGGCTGTATGAACAGACAGCTAAGCATTTCCAAAAATGTAGTTTGACTGTGGATAATTGGAACATAGCATAGTAAAAATAACAATGTTTTTTAATTAGTCAGAAATATATTCGTACTTATTCAGGACAACGGTTGTGGTTCTCCTTCTTTTTAGGATCTTCGAAACCAGCTTTATGAATCTTATTATTTAAACTTTATTTCTGCCATTTCAAGAAGTAAACTGGAAGATATTGCAAATGCTGCCATAGGTGCTAATGCAGTAACTCAAGTGGCTAAGGTAAGAAAATCCCCCAGTCTTAATATTAAATATATTATCATTATATATGTTACATGATCACTTTTGTGTCATACACAGCTTTTCTAACTGAATGATGAACAGAATAAATGTTTAGCTAGATTGGGTGGTAAGGTACTGGAACAGGTTGCCCAGAGAGGCTGTGGATGCCCCCTCCCTGGAAGTGTTCAAGGCCAGGCTGGATGAGGCTTTGAGCAACCTGGTCTAGAGGAGGGTGTCCCTGCCCATGGCAGGGGGTTTGGAACTAGATGATCTTTAAGGTCCCTTCCAACCCAAACCATTCTGTGATTCTGTGATTCAGTGACAGGCAAAGATTTACGGGGGGGACAAAAGAGAGTCTAAGTCATTTCAATAATGCAACTTGGTACTATATACTTCAGTTTAGTCAGAAGTCCAAGAACTGCAAGACCTTTGTGCTAAGTGATAAGGGGGGAAATAACAGTGGTTTCAGAGCATTCCCGATCTCAGCTCAGTTAGTGCATCCGGTTCATACATAATGGGGTGGGGTTTTTCACTCCTAAATGCATGAAAAGTGCAGTGTGAGTGCAGTTGTCATTTTAAATAGGCAGTGCACTGTAGAGGTGGATGTTTTATACATACACAGTTATTCAGTACACTCCCATACCCGTATGATTTAAAGGCAGGTGTCAGGGATATAGCCACTAATTTTTATTGAATGCCTGAACCAAAACCTGCAAATTATTAACCAATTATTTTCATATATACTTAAATACATTCATTTTTTCTCACTTGTGTTCGGGAGTACTACTGTCATGAGGGAAAGAAACTTGTGAAATGAAATGAAAA